TGGGTGATTTAACCTGTAGTCCATGATCCAGGGCAGGCCTCTATGGTTGTGGGTCCAGAAGCCTCCTGGGCAGGGTGGGGAGAGGAACTGGCCTTAGGTGGTACGTTCACCCCTGCCTCGGCCCTCTGCTCAGCCTAACCATAGCATCCTCTTGGACAACCAATGTACTCAAAAAGCTGGGAGAAGGATTGGGGAACCAGGAACAGCCCAGGAGTTTTCAGAAAACCATCAGTGGTTTATTTAGAAAAAAAAAAAAAAAAAAAAAAAAGGCTGGTACTTGGGCCCTGCTCAAGGACCCCTTGTTGCCTAGAGGACAGTGAGTGCTCTTACTCTGCAGGTTGACAGGGGCATCAGAGTGACTTCCAAGTCTCAGACCAACACCACTGAGTCCTGTATGGGCCCTATTCCTGCTAAGACGCTTGTGACACACTCAGAAAACTCTCGACAAGGGGCCGCTCACTCTGTGTGCCCTTCCAGACTCAGGGCTGCTCTCCTCTCTACTGCCCCACCTCAAACAACCTTAGGGTTTGAGGCTGCACCAGGGCCCTCCAGCATGGTGGCAGGGTGATTTCCAAAGCTTTTCTCTTCAATGAAAATGGCTATTAAAATACACCATTTACTGCTTTGGTATAAAGTCCATAGCTTTAGAAATTGTTCACCTGAAGCTAAAGCATGTCCAACAGCTCCTAGAGAGTGGGGCCCCGGCTGAGCTTGCTGGGCTGACCTGGCACCCCTTGACATATGGCCCTCTGAGCCGGTCCCACCTTCTCCAGAGGGAAGGGGATCTGCCTCCAGTCACCAGTCTCCAGGATACAAAGGCCTCCAGCAGCCCCCACGGGATGACCTTTGGAGGCCTTTCAGCTCCAGCTCTGGAGCCATAATTAGAGTGGGCCTGCTCCATGGGGGCACACTGGAGACTGCAAGGCTCAGGCAGCAGCTGCACCGCTCCTGAGATCACTGCAGGGTCTGCATGGAGACTGTGGTGCAAGTGAGCACTCACTGCCAGCTTCAACCCAGGACAGTTCCTTGGGCTGCAGCTGCAAGGAGCCTTTGAGGTGGGGCTCTCTCATTCCGGGCATCTCACCCCGTAACCCACCCACAGGCCATTAAGAAATCCTTCCAACGGAGCGGGCTCCATCACCATTTGGATGGCATGGCCCAGCGTCAGCTCCTCTATCTCCTGGCTCCTGACCCTGGATTCCAACACTACGGCCAATCCGTTTCACATGCCCTCTCAACAGCTTTGCCTCCGAGAGCCACATCCTTGTTCTCCCTTACCACCCACCAACCCAGAATCCTGTCCCCTTAGCCTCCCTGTCCAACTCGGGAGACCCTCCCCTGCAAGGCCTGGCTGGCTCCTCCCCCAGTGTTCTGAGTACAGAGCTGCCTAGGAACTGGTCTGGCCTTGCAAATCCCTGTGTGTTCTCCAAAGACACGGCTGGTCCACTGTGGGGTCCTGTCCCAGACCCCACTCCCCCTTGTCACATCACCCAACAAGGGACCCTCTCTGGACTCTGCCTTCCCTCTTTTCAGTCTTTCCATTTGCAGTGACTGCTGGCGAATGACCAGTCACTTTGGAAACACATTTCCTGTTCTATACTCGGCCAAACTCCTGAGCCGGTGTCCTCAGACCGGAGTCTCTGCCTCGGAAGGCCCAACCCCGGGATGGGTAACTCCTTCATAAGATGGAGCACTTCTGGGCTCTCTGTACCCCTGAGGGAGGGAAGGGAGAGAAGTGATTAGGGACTCACTGAGCTCCCACTCCTGAAGCTTGGAGGATCTGGGGGATGGACTCGAAGCCAGACCCAAGGCACCCCCAGGTGCTGTGTCTGGCCCTGTCCTCCATCTCTCTTTCTTTCTCCTTTAACATTCTCTGCCTGCGTCTGGACCACAGGACAACTGAAACTCTGCAGGGCATGATTCATCGGGTGGCGCCCTTCCGAGCCGAGGCCCATGTGACATTAATCAGTGTCAGACCACTATAATGGAGATATGAATATGAATTCTCCATATTGTGGGGAGATAAATGTGCTTTTATATAACGGATCAGAGGGAAGAGGGCTGGATGGGAGCAGGAAGACTGCAGAAGTTCCAGCAGGGCTTGGTCAAGGGTCCTGGTGCCCACTCCACAGGGCCAGGCTGGGAGGGCGGCCCTAGGCCCTCGAGCTTGAGGCCCTAGACAATAGATGTTTCTCATCCTTCTGTGTCCTCCAGCAAACTTCCGAAGAAGCTCAGCAGCAAAGAGTTTGCCCCGAACGCCGCACAACCTTCCCACAGGGAGGAAGGGATGCTCAGAGACCACCAGTTCTGTGGAGAGTCCTACGCACGCCCCTGTCTCCAAATTTCCTATCTCAGAGTTGCCGCCTCACTGGGGATGATGCCTGGGGGAGTTGTGGTGTAGAAGTGTCCTGGCCAGGCAAAAACTTCCCAAGGAATTTCTGTGGCTCTAATGTTAGAAGCAAGGTGGAAGCCCCTCAGTACCCAGCATCCATCACAAGAATACATTTACGAGTGTATAGCAACTGTAGAGAAAGGTAAGCAAACAATGCGAAATATGCTTTGGGGGCTTGATTAAAAATTTATATTTAGTTTTTCACTGAAGAAAAGCCATTCTAACTGGAGACCTGATGTGTACACAGTGGAAGGCTGGTTCTCAGGGGGGACCCAGACTGCTCAGCCCACCTTCTAAACTATTGAGCACCAATACTGTTAGGATCCTGTCAGCTGAGAAGCTGCTACTTCAACCTCCTCCACACCTGACAAACATCTTATACACGGGGGAAAAACTGGGAAATAAAATGGAGGTGGGCAGGCACATAGGCAGTTTTTAGATTCAGAGATGTGAAAAAAGAAGAACCTTACCTGTCTGTGCTGGAGGAGTCTACCAGAATCAGTCTGCTGCTTCCCACAGTCACTCAGAACGGATCTCCCAGCATGTTTTGAAGGTCTGAGCAGCACCCAAGCATTCCTGGGTACTCAATTCCTCATTCCAGACACAAGCCATGGGTGGCCAGGTTTCTTTAGAGATGCAGTTTCATTAGGGACCCCATTCCAGAGGCTCTGGGATGAAGGGTCCAGGGATGCCAGGCTCCTTGCAGCCTTTGCCAGGAGGGCTGTTAAAAAGGTACTTTTAACTCACAAACCCATCAGGACACTGAAAACACAACTTACAGCCCAAGGCCCACATTTGCCTGCAGATGCCAGTGGCCTGGCAGCCCCCCAGACACACACCACACACACGCTCACACACATGACTGATCCCAGGAACAAGCACTAAGCCTTGTCACTACAAATCCATGCTCTTGTCCAGGGAGCCCCGAGGCCCAACTGTCTGGGGTTTCAAGCAGCCTTAGAAACACCACCAGCAGGGGTCAAGGCCCCATTCTGCTTTTGGACCATAGAGGGCGCCTCGAGCTTGTCCATTCAGGCCTCGGAGCTCCCACTAGCTTAGCAAAAGGAGTCTACCGGACCCAGGTCCACCTATCTGGGCTACCGAGCTCCTCAGCTGCCCTGGCACCCCATGATCTGCCGGTCACAGACGCGTGATCCCATGTGCGGTAGTCACTTGCCTGGGCAGCGTTTCTGAGCCTCTCTAGCCTGGAGGTCCGAGAAGCCCAATCCTCACCCAGCCGGTCGGCCAGGGTGGGAAGAATTGAGGAGAAAAGGGGAAATGCCCTGAGTGTGGTGTGGCAGCAGCGGCAGTGCGTGGAGAAGCCTGTTGGTTCTTTTCTAGGCAAGCAAGGAACAACGGTGAAAGACACGGAGTCTTCCGCTCCTCAGCCCTGCCAAGCACACACCGACTCTGAACAGCCTGGGAAGAGCAAGTCCCCAGCGGCTGGGAAGAGCTGAGCTCAAGCTGGGGAGGGGCTACACGACTTCGCCTTTCCCCACCAAGCCTGTGTCCCCTCAGTTTACATCCCCCTTCGGCAGGCAGTTTTAATGTTGACTTTCACAGTCGTCACGATCCCGCCATTTTCAGAATCCCCCAAAGTCCTGGCTCCGGGTTGGCAAAGCCTTCCACGGTGCTGGAGGGTGATGCACGCGACCTGCTCATAAAGCCACAAAGCTGGAGTGGCTGGACTCCTAACTCTCGGTTGTGGTTTCTAAAGCTCCTTTCCCTCCGGAGCGAGCTGGATAGCAGCTCCTCCGCGCTTTGTTGGGACAGTTGCTCCCAACCTTCTCCAGCCCAGTTCCGGCTTCTAGGGAACTATTTGATCTGGGCTTCAGTTGGTGCTGGGTCGCAGATCGTCCTACCCGGGTTTAGAGGAGCGCCCTTCGCAGTCCCCCAGACCTCCCCCACCCCGCGCGGCCCGCCCTCGCGCGGCACACCTCTTTCCCTGAAACCACTTGCCTCATCTTGAATCACAAGCCCAGAGAACCCCGAAACCCAGAACCGCAACCCATCTCGCCTATCCTCCTATTTGAGGATCTTAAAAAGAACCTTCCGTTTTTCTCCTCTTTGCATTTAACCAAGTAAATAAACACATTGCGAGCAATATTTCATACTCCATTACGTCCACGCTCTGCCCAGAAAACGACCCTCCGCCAAAACGCACCGCTCACACTACCAGTGAGTAATTGATTTCGAGCCCGAAGTTCCCCTTTGGGAGTATGATTGGAAATTCTCTTCATTTTCCCCCATTTTGATCCACTTTAAAGCATCGTTTTTGTAAACTGCCTAAAATTGAACCCATTTACGTTCTGAGAAAGGCTGCTCCAGATAAATGCTTGTCTAAGCGTGGCAAAGAATTAAACTGCCAACAAGAAATTGGCCTAGGAGCAAAAGGAACAAATTCAACCACCACCACCACCACGGAAAGACCATGCCCTACGCAGTGGTTTGCTGAGTGGAAACTCTGTTCCAAGGCCCTACTCCCAAAGGAGCCTCTTTGGCTTTAATCATGGGCCCCTGGACTCTGCCCAGGATTTCAAGATCGCATACACCCTTGCCTCCCCCAAGAACGCATGAACACAGGGACACACAGCTGCCGCAGCATGGACATCGTTTCATTTAGTTTATTAGACAAAAATATATGATTTAAACAAGTTCGCTGACGCGCTATTTACAATCTGAAATCACGCTATATACAGAAAGGGAGAGAAAAAAAAAAGAAACAAAGAAGACACAAACACGGGGACGGGGGTGGGGGAGATTTACCGAATCGGATAATCAACCCGAGCGGCAGGCAGTGCCTGCCCACCCCCCAAGCGCTTAGGCGGGATGAGCCCCTTTTTGCAAAGAGCGATGCGTGAGAATCACTGACGCCGCCGTCACGTTTGTCCTTTACATAAGTCTCAAATATTTGTCTTAATTCCTCCCTCGACTCCTCCCTCCCCAACCCCTCCCCCTCCCCTCTCCCGCAAAAGTAAAAGACGACCCTTAATCAGGCAGACGGGAGGGCTGCGAGGATCCGAGGCGTTCCCTCCTGCGGTGCCAGCGAGCTGCACGAGAAACACAGCAATAAGACACCAGCCATGAGTAGACAGATCAAGCGCCACCGCGCCCCGGCTTCTTCAGGCAGAGCGAGCGGGGGCTGGAGCTAGACCGCTGCCCCTCAGGCTCCCCGCTCCTGAGAACTGGAGCAGGCTAGACGGGTAGTGCTACCTCATTATGAATGCACGACCCTCACTGCCACCCAGCGATGCTCCTCCCGCCCCAGGACAAAAGCAAAAAGCACTCACTTGTCGCGTACGGGCTGGAAGGACGACTTTAACTGCTGTGGGGGCGAATCCGACCTGGGGACTAGGTCTCTCTCTGCGAGGGAACAGAAGATGCGCAGGGTTAGGAGAGGGGTATAGGTAGTCGGGGTGAGCCTGTTGGAAGGGTCCCTATGCCCAGATTCCTCGCTAATGCTCATTTCCTGCAACCAATGTCTGCCCCTATCCCTCCGTGGTTCAAGCCCTCGGGTGCAGCTCAGCACCCCAGAGAGACCTAGGCCTAGCTCCTCGCTTTAAGCCACCCCTGCCCACCACCACTGACACTCATGTCTAGGTCTCTTGTCTGGCACCACGTGGATGCAACCTTTTCTGCTCGGTACCTGGAAGTGCAGGACTGCTTCGCGCGGAGGCCTTGTCACCGTGGAGCACCCCGGTGGCAACCTGGACAGGCGGCTGTGGAGGTGGTGGTGCAGGCAGGTGTGGGCCGTGGGGTGCGGCATGGGGCGCGCCAACGCCCAGGAAAGAGCGCATGTTCAGCAGCGAGCCCTGTGCGAGGAACGCGCCGTTGGTCCAGTTGGAAAACTTGCCTATGTGGCAGGTGTACAGTCCGTGGCTGGGCAGAAAAGCCGGGTGTTGCAGGGGCGCGCCGCTGGGAGGCCCGTGCGCGCTGGGATGGCTGGAGGGTGGCGGTGGAGATGCCTTAGGCACGCCGTCGGGGCTAGTGGCTGTCTCAGCCAGCGACCAGATCTTGGGCTTGCTGTTCGGCGCGCCCTGCAGGCCGACCGCCGTGGCGCCAGGACTCAGCAGGCGCGTGCTGCTGGGCTCTGAAACCTCCTTAGCCAGGCCCAAGGGCGAATCTTGGGACTTGAGTGCCTCGGCGGCCGACAGCGGTGAACCCTGGTCCCGAGCTAGGGCGGGAGGGGCTGCGCGCGCCCTGGGAACTTCAGCCTTGTCCTCCTCGTCTTCGTTGCTCTGGTCACCATCACGCTCGTCGATCTGGTCGATGTCAATGCTCTCCAGGTCGATCTCCTCGTCGTCCTCGGCCTTCTCCGGGTCGCCCTCCGTGTCGCTGCCAAAGAGGGCGCCGTCTTCCTGGTCCTTGCTGCGCGCCCCCCATGTCACCTTGTTCTCCTTCTTGAGGCGGCGTCGCGCGTTGGCGAACCAGGTGGAGACCTGCGTGAGGGTCATCTTGGTGATGATGGCCAGCATGATCTTCTCGCCCTTGGTGGGGTACGGGTTCTTGCGGTGCTCGTTGAGCCAGGCTTTCAGCGTGCTGGTGCTCTCGCGCGTGGCGTTCTTGGGCCGACCGGGATCTCCGTATTGGAACTGGCCATAGGGATAATAAGCAGGCGTCGTGTGGGCTGCGAAGGTGGCTGGGTGCACCCCTGGGTTGTCCTTGAGTTCATACTGAGAGCCCTGAAAGCAACCGCAGAGCAAGAGAGAAGAGAGAGAAAGGAAATGGAGGGAGAAAAGAGAAAGAAGGAGAGATGAGTTCCAGCTGCTAGGAAAAGAAGATCTAGGCTCCTGTGGACCCTGGGGGCCTCCCGGGCACCTGATTCACCGGGCTCAGAAAAGGAACACACACACACACACACACACACACACACACACACACACACACACACACCACTGTTTTTGAAGAACCACGGTGGCTGGAGGGCTGGAGCTTTAAATTGGGTTGTGGGCGCTGGATCTCCACTAAACCGATTTTCTTTTCCTGTGGTTAACTCTAGAAAAACTTTTAGAATTCCTGGGTTTTTAGAAGATAGCATAATCCTTCCCCCCCTCCCCAGACCCCGATCTTCCCAGGACCCTGGTTCCCCAACACCAATCCATCACAAAATTCAGATTTCCAAGTTCAGCTTACAGAAGCTGGAGAGGGAACCTTTTACTTAGACTGATGAAACAGTTTCTCCAAAGTGAAGCACCCTAAACTCAAGGCCCCTCCTTCCTACCCTGAAGGACTCAATCAAAATAAACCATCCAGGGTATTTTTTCAGTCTAAATTCCCTACTAATTTAAAATGGAAGCAGAGTCCTCCTTTGGCCTCCCAAATTAATCTGCATATAATGGTTCACTCACACTTAGAGTCTGTAGTGGTGACAGGTAATTTAAAATTTTAATCCTGGCCATCCTTGGCAACAATGACAAAAAGCATTTTTTTTTTCAATACAAAAGGAGAGCTTATCCTGTAAAATATTAACGCCAGGCCTGGAGCCACAGGCAGCCGCAGCTCAGGGGAACCGGTTCAGTTTCCTGGGCCTCTTCGGACTACTTTATCTATCGCTTAAGTTTGACTTTGATCTGCGGCGGAGCAAACACAAACTGTTTGCAGGCATTTAGAGGCCATGATTTATTTGCAATCAATATTCTTTTTATCATCAGTAGTAAAACACAGCAAGTCAAATTATCCCATCAGGTTTTTTGGTAAATAACATTTTATCTTTCTAACAGCCTCATTAGGCCTCATTATTACCATAAATTGCCCAGACAGACGCTCACTCACAATTTTATCTTTTGGGTTCCAAATACCGGATCATAAAAGATTGGAAAGCTGGGCCTCCACTGAGGCTTTGGATTTAAGCTGACTTTCCAAGAACCTGGTAGGAGACCTGGAGGTAACACAAACACCTTAAGGGACAAATTTTATTGTCCCTCTAGTTTAAAGAGAAAACAAAACTAAACAACAACATTCTCCTCTGGACCTTCCCTGCTTCGCCACAATGGGAGCAGATCCTCCTTCCCCCAGAAGCACATAGGCAGCATTCCCAAATGGCTCACATCTGTATTCAAAATTTCTGTTAAACACACACACACACACACACACACACACACACACACACACACACACACACCAAAAACAAAAACACAAAAAACAACAACAAAACCCTTCATCTTCCGTTTTTAAAATAAAGATCCAGTTGCCAAGTTAGCAAAGGATAAGTCGGGGCCCTAAGAAAGTTATAAAAAGCGTATTTCCTTGACTAATTATTTTAGTCATCAAGGCCGCTCAGAAAAGGCTCCTGTGGCCCAAATTCGTTAGGGCTTTGTCGTTGTAAAACAGACTTCTTGCTTTTCAAAAGTATTTTAGTTGTAATCGTAAAGGAGAAATTTTGGCCTCGTCTCTACTGGGGATTCTTTTTGAAAGGGCACCTTGTAAATCTCTCATCGCTCCCGGGGCATCTAGGCTGTCCGAACAAAATGGGGTCTGATCTTCCTGGTTGGGAGCATCAGAAAGGCGGCTGGCCTGACCACTGAGAAACAGGCTTTCTTTCTAAACTACAAGAAAAGTTGCGGGGAAACGCGCCGGCCGCTTTGCTCCTGCACAGTTAGAGGCCAGCCTTCTAGGGAATCTGGTCTGGTCTGTTTATCCGGAGAGGGGATAATAATTCGGGGTTCATGTAAATTGCGCTACCCAGAAGACAGCAGGGCCGCCTCCCGCGCCCACATCGCAATTTACCAGCGGCCTCAAGTTTAAGCAGCCCGACCTTTCAGTAAGAGCAAGGAAAATTGATCGCTTGGAAGGACAGACTGGCCCAGGCTCCTGCGGAGAATTAAATTTACACCCCCTCCCCCATCTGACACCTACTGGGACCGGAGATTGGAGGGCACCATTTATTTTTTAAGCCCTGGGACACTGCTCCTTTAATTCTACCTTATGTAACACGGGAAGAGAAGGGCTTTTCTTTCACTTCAAATGAAACGAAAACTTTGGCAACTTAACGAAAGTAAAGGCAAACACCGTTTCGGAAGCCAGAATTTATGTCAACTTAGTATTTCTTAACTTCCGATGCCTATGATTTCCTACACACGCCATTAAGAGACCCCTGCTCTGCCGGTGTCTATTGTTTGTTGGGATGTTTTTGATCGACTCCACTAGGTTTAACCGCTTCCTTTTGGCAAAGTCGAGGGCAACTGTCTCCGCTCTGCCAAGGAGGGAGAAGCAAAGTCTTCTGGGCCCAACGGAGAGCTCAAGCATCGCCCAGGCGAATCCCGCCGCCTGGCCAGGGCACAGTTGGTAAAGCGGCCCTGGCTGCTGCGGGAGCCCGGCCGGCCTGCCCAGTCGGTCGCACCGGCCGCGCCAGGCGAATTTGCCCCGGACCTCCAGTGCCTGCCGCCTTCTCCGGCCTGCTCCCGAGGCTTCTCTCTACTAGCGCGCGACCCTTTTTCAGGCTCCCGTCTTCAGCCTCCCAAGAGCGCGGGGGTCACTGCGTGGGGCCTCTGGGCACTCCCGAGTCCCAAGGGGGACGAGGCCTCAACCGCCGGATCCCCTCCGCTGGACCCTTCCCGCGCTCCTTTCCCAGACACTGCCTGCGGGTCCTCGGTTTCCCCCGCCGGGCCAGCCGCTCCCGCTGTCCCCGAGCGCGGTGATCTCCCGCCAGCGCGGGCGGGCCGGGAGGGCGCGCGGGAGGCGGGAGCACTCACCATCTGCGAGAAGAGGCTGAGGTCCGCGGCATAGGGCAGGAAGGCGCTGTAGTTGGGTGCGCCCGCGTACGGTCCCGCCGCGGCATACATGCCCAGCACCGAGGTAACTGCGGCCGCTCCCGCGCCTGCTCCCAGCTCCGCAGTCCCCGGCCGGCCCGACGAGGCGGCGGCCGCAGCAGCCGCGGCCGCAGCCAGCACCCCAGGGCGCTCTCCGCCGTAGGCGCCTGGGCCCGTGGCGCTTAGGTACTGCGGGTAGCCCAGCTGCGGGAAGGACATGTCCGCGGGATCGGCGGTGACGGAGGGCAACACTAACAGCCCGGACAGCGAGACCGGGACGGGATCGGAAGGGATGCGGCGCGGGGGGATGCGGGCTGAGGGCCGGGCTCGCTCGGGCCGGCCCGGGGGAGGGGGCGCGGGGGCCGGTTGCTGTTCCTGGGCCCTGTGCTGGCTGGCGGCGCCCGGCTCCCGGCTGCGCCCGGATCCGAGATCGCGCGCCGACTGCGGCGGCCGCCCTCCGCTCGGCGGCGGGGCTCTCAGACACAATTTGAAGTTGATGCTTTGATTGGCATCCCCTTGAGCACAGGCCCCGCCCCTGGCTCCCCTCCCGCCCCCTCCCTGCCTCCAGCCCGCCCTCTCTGGCCGCTCCCGCCCCTCACGGCGAGCACGTGGTGCCCCGCGCCCGCCGGGCCACCTCCTCCTCCGGTGGGCGCGCGCGGCCGGGCTGCTGGTGTGGGTCCGGAGGCCGCAGCCTCCTTCCTAACCAGCCCCCGCGGCTTTTGACAACCTGTCGACATCGGTTTACAGCTGTCTGATACCCGGTTTTGCATTTGAGATCTGTCCCCCAACCCCCTTTTAACAAAAGCAACTCTGGGGTTGCGTTTCTGCAGCTGGGGCGGCAGGGAAAGAGGCCTGAGGCCAGGGGACAGTCTATGGCGAGCGGCCTCTCTTCTGCGGCTGGCTCTGCCGCACCTCCGTGGGACGTATTTGGCTGAAGTGCTTGCATGAATCAAGGCGTGGAGTGACACCTCGGATGCAGGGTGGGTCGGTCGTCCCTTTGGCTCCACTTCCTATCAACAGATCCTCTGGAAATGGCTGGCCTCCTTGCACTTGGAGAAGCGGGATGTGTGTGGCCGCGGCTCTGTGGGTTTCTCCAAATATAAAAACTTTGAAAAAAAAAAATGGGCAAGTTAGCTGAGAAGTCGCTGTGGCCTGAGCGATCCTAGAAGGAGGGGGAAAGGAGTGGAGGAGGGGACAGCCCTTCGCAAGGTAAAAGGACTGGCGAATCTTTCCCGCGGCCATCTAATACCCTCTCCCGGCTTCGGAGAAGCCTGCATGGCCTCGGCGCCCGCGTTTGTCCACTAGGTGTGCAGGCGCGGAGAGGAGTAAACTTGTGTGAGCTCAGGGACCTGAGGAGGCGCTGCGACCAGCCATCGGACAGGACGTCTGCCAGGACCCTGGCCTTAATTTCCCCTCCCCTTTCGCCCTCGTCCCCCCGCCCCCCGCCCCCGCCCCCTCGCTCTGCTGCCCAGCTCCTATCTCAGACGCTGGAAGAATAAGAATTAGATCAATTTGGAAGCTCTAGCAGCCATTATGGGGCCTGGCCACTAGGTTCTAGAGGCAGAGTTTGAAGGCACCCTCCTCTCTCATGCCTTAGGGATGATGGTTAAGAGCGGGATGCTTCTGTGCTGGGTCTTGAAAGTGCTGAACCAAATGTCCAGATACCTGCCTTCACTCCTAGGGCCACTTTGGATGCCACTCACTGTCTATGAGATGGCACAGGCCTGAGTGTGTCGCATCATCCTGGGGGAGCTTCAACTGCAGGTTCTGGTGTCAGCCTAAGTGAATTCAGGGCTACAAGGGGCAAGCCTGACCATGAGCCCACATACTGTGCTGCTGCTGTCCAGGGCCATCAGGACCCTGGACACCAGCTAAAGCCCACCTTCTTGCCTAGACACCCAAACTCCCGCAACACCAGGAAGGCCTCACTTGCAGGTCTTGAGAACAGACACTGACCCTTGCCTGCAATTAGTCATGATACAGCTGGTAAAAGTAGTTACAAATTACCAGCTGGGAAATTGGGCTTCCTTCCTCTGCTCTGGTTTAGGTCTTCTCTCTTGTTCAGGCTGCTTCTTCCATCTGTCCCTGCCTACTTCATGCCACCATCCCAGAAACCCAGACTGCAAGGTACCATGAAGGAATATCGAGGGCTCAAGCTTGCAAAGCTCCTGACTGACTTCTTCCTGGTTCCCAGCCCATCAGTCACCTTCTAACCAGAAACTTGGAGTCCTATCTGTCTCTTCCACATACTCCAAACAAACACAACACTGCAGGGCAGTTATGGTGTGACAAAAAGGTCTGGCCATTGTTCTGGCTCAGTGAACCCAGAGTCGCATTTCAGATGACAAGTAAATACAGGTAAGATAAGACCTGAGGTGTTACCTCGGAGGATGAGGTGGGAAAGTCATCCAAACATATCTTCCTGCCAGTACTGACAGAGGGATCACTAGCTTGCCTCATCACTCCTCACAACTTCCCACCTGACTTGCAGGTCTAGGGCCCCTAGGACTGGGAGCTCAGGAAGGAGCTGGGGGTACTTTGTCCCCCCCACCCCCACCCCACCCCACCCCCACCCCCCACGGCACAGCAGTGGTGCTTATCTGTGCTCTATGTAGGTCACCTGCACGAAGGACTAGAAAGGAGTGGAAACTCAACAAGATAGCACAAGAGGATCCAGCTGAGCACATCTGGTAATTTTCCTTCAGGACTTGGCAGCAACATGGATGTGGACTTGATTCGGGGAGGGAGGGAGGGAAGTTGTGGGTGAGTTGACTGTTGTCCATTCTTTGCTGTTGACCAGAGCTGGGGCTACAAAAAAGGCACTGTACTCAAAACCAGTTCTGGAAGGTGCCGGCAGAGACTGTGCCCCCTCTTTTCTTTCTCCTTGGCCCCTCTCACCCTGAAACTTGCACCCAGGCATGGGGAAGCAACAGAGAGGTGTAGAGAGCAACCGGGAGAACACAAGAGTCATAAAATGCCCCAATCTTCCAGCTGGAAGAAGTGTCAAGCAGAAGCTAGAAGCCCCTGTCTTGATTGCTAAGAAGTCCCTTCCCCCCCCCAAAAAAAAATTAACATACAATGGAAAATTAGGGCCAAGTTGATGGCATCTATTCCATGCTGGAAGAAGGGTTCCAGGTCTAGGCATCCTAGAGGGGTCTTATTTTAGTATCATTGCTAGGGGACCAACACTTGTCCAGGTCAGGCCAGGTACATCTGCTCACCCCCTGTTTTGGACCCAGGATGGAGCAGACAGAATAGGGAGGCCTCTGTGAAGGTCATGGAACTGCACCTGCCCATCCCACCAGAACCCATAGACCCCTTAGTCAGGAATATCTTCTTCCTGAACCCGAAGCTGCAACTTGATCACGATGATGGGAGGTTCTAGCAAGAGAGTCTTTGCTAGGGGTCCCCTCTGTAGGTGTTAGGTAAAGCAGGCAGAAGAAATTCAGACCTGGGGGGTCTCTGCAAGATGGATTCAGACATGCACCCGATGGAGTCCCTGATATGGTCTGGAAGACACAGAGACTTGAGACAAACCCAGAGCAGGGGACTGGGACTCTCTGGTGAGTCAACAGGCTTTGGGCTGACCCTTCTGGGGCAGAAGTAAGCCTCCCTGGAGAAGTGGGGGGGGAGGGCAAGTGGTAGGGAAGAGCGGACAAGGGGGCTAAGGGTACATAGACACCTTAGGATCAAGGCTGGTTTGTAAGTGGATCTTAAGGCTTGAGGAAACTTGTTCTTTGGGGACACTTTTCTGCATGAAAGAAACTTGGGTTTTAGTGCTGTCTTTCCCAGCTAGGGCTTCATTGTTAGTAGGTAGCCCCTGCTTCCTCTCATGTTCCTCCCCCCCAGGGATTTATTTAGTTAAAGTTGAAATTAATCAAGCTAACAACATTCTAGCTCACAGTCTTACTTCTTCAAAAGTCACCACCCACTGTTTGTCAGGATGTGCTGTGCAGGGGAGGCCAGGGTCAGAAGTCATTTTTAGGGACACCTTCTGGCTTCACTAAGGGAGCAGAACAGCTCCACTCCAAATGCAAATGACAGAAGCCCTGTTACTCAAAGTGGCTGTTTGGGGTTCTAGGGATGAGGACTGGGCTAACCCGGCCAAAGAAACTCGAGATTCAGGACAGGGACCAAAGCTGCACAGAGAAACCCTGTCTTGGGGGGAGAGGTGGCGGGGGGGGGGGGGACTGGACTAACCTGGCCAAAGCCACGAGGACTGTCCACCCGACTTGCGTAGGTTTATTTACAGGTCTAGTTAAGTATCATTAGGACATCACAACTTTTCCCAGAAGGGCCCTGGATGCTGCGGGCTGCCACCCTAAGGCAATTATCTATTGGTACGGCTGTGAATCAAATCCCCAAAACCACAAGGAAGCTTGTAGCTTCATCCTCCGCACCTCACCCTCATGGTGGTATCCCCATGGTCCAGGGGACCCTAAGCCGGTCTCCTCCTTCTCTGTCTTGCACCATCAAGCCAGAGGTCATACGAAGAGCTGGAGATTTTGAGGACCACAAACAAGAGTCTATAGCACTGAAATACACTGGAGATCGAGTGGCCTTGTAGGTAGTTGCAGGTATTGTGGCCGGTGCCGCGGGTGCCAGTCCTGCGGAATAAGGAGCCGAGTCTGCACCAGTGACTGCGTGGAAACCTGGAGGAAACGCTTCAAAAGAAATGACTCCCGGTTCGTTCCCCCGCCTAGGGAAGAAGCCCTGCGTGGCAGGAATCGCCCCTGGCTAGGACTAAGCCGACCTGGCGGGGCACCATTGGAGAACTGAGAGCTGCACTTCCCCTGTGCCAGCAGATCCAGGCCTGAACATCTCAGGGGAGGAAGGGCAGCGGAGTGGACTAGACCTCAGTGGATCAGCCCAGAGTAACAAGATACCAGCGTCCCCGGAATCAGATGATGGGGATTGCATGCGTGTGCACACACGTAAATATTTTATAAATTTCCCCTTAATTAACCAGATCACTCCCATTATGCCTCCAATACTATCAACAGCGACGGTGTGAATGAAGGTTTTCAGGGCTTATAATTTGATGTCACCCGACGGTCGCCCAGGGGCAGAAGCGCAATCGTAGCGCCAGCTGCGCTTGTATTTATTTGTTTTCCCGCCGTGTTCCTGTAGGGCTCCATTATGCAGTTTTTAATTAGTTTGTGTTTGTATTTCACCCGTCCCAAATCAATCCCATCCCAGAGCAAGGCCATGTAAATTCTTGCAGTACAGGTGTTGCTTCTTGCTCCCCTAAGCTAGCAAACGCGTGTCTGACAAATGAAACCCGGGCTGCCACGCAGAGGACTGTCAGCTCCCGGCAGCTGAGATCGCAGATCAAAGCCAGTGGGACTTCTGAGCCCTGTGAGCGCCAGGGAGGAAGACGATGCTGTAGAGGCTAGGAATGTCATTAGAGTGAGGCGGCCAGAGTACCGGCCGGTAGACAAAGAGACTTCTAATTTCCCTCCAGGGCTGTGG